CTGCGACATCATAATCTTCTTTCGTCAGCAATAAAGTAAAAAGTCTCCCTTTATTGGTCTTGTACTTCTCGATCTTCGAACTTCTAGGTGTAGAGTAGATATCCGGGACTGCGCCCCGGACCTTGACTTACTCAAACTCTGTTAGGTGGGTCCTACTCTTTCTTCGCTCATTAGTGAAGGTGACCAGAGCCGTGGCTCTATGTATCTAACCTATGAGCATCTGTAGTTGAATTTTCCATTTATAGAAGGCACCTTACAAGGAGAGAAATAAATGCTTTGATAAAGTAATCAGCCAGTGCAACAAATTGCAAGAACAACGACGCGGTGACGCAAGACCGCGCAAGCGCAGTCACATTCACTGTTTAACATTCAAAACAATGAGAACTTTCCAGTAGCTACGCTGGTCTCGGTAGCAGTCGTCAACGTGGATATGGAAGACGACGGGGACGAAGAAGATAAATTGGGAAAGTGAGGTTTTTCAAAATTGTATAAACATCATGCGAATTACCTACTTCAGGGGATCTAATTATCATCTCAAGTAATTTGATGTATTATTTTTTCAGGTCGAAAAAACAGGCAGAGGCTCTAGCTGAGAGTGCTTGCCGAAGCGCGGCAGAAAACAGTGGTGTCAGATCAGCCAGCGATACGTGAGTATGACCACTCAGAATTCAGCTAATGTTCAAGGATGAAGAACAGGCAGTAACCGAGTGCTCTAGATGCAAAGGAGAACTGCTACAATACAAAGTGTCTTATGAGCCCACTTTGATTGCTAATAACTGTTTTATGTCAGACTTTCTGCCTAGTAAATTCTAGATATCTAGCAACTTAGTTTTGCTAAGATCGAATCCTGCAATTCTCTTTCAGCTAAGGTACGTAAATTGGAAATTATTATTGGCTTAAGCGCACGCGGAAAGAGCTATTGCCTTTACTCAGAGCTAGTAAGCCCAAAAATTTTCTGGACGGTTTTTTATGCACTAAGCTCAATTATGATGGCCATTTAGTACAGCAGAGTGTAACACTCACGATTTACGCCCTTCGCACAATAAAGTCGCCTATTTTCGCCTAATTCTACTGTTATCATAAGATGGAGGATTCGTTTAGTGGAGATCGAAGTTCAAACTCCTCCAGAATGAACTATTAAAGCAAAGGAAGGATC